ATTTTAATGTCACAGCATTGGTCACCTAGACTATATAGCACCACCACCCCACCACCACCACAGTCTTACATACCCTTATTCAAAACTAGCCTAATTTTTCAAAGCTGACTGATAGATCGAATAAAAAAAAAATTCAAAAAATGAGGCAGCTGACTGATTTTTCGAAGCCTCGCTGATCCGTTTGCAGTAGCGACGACCGCTGTATCCAGTATTGGAGTGGACGCCACCGGATGTTGGGAACGAGGGCGTTCGAAACAGTGAGGGTGATAACACTGCTGCAAATTAGGGTTGAGGGGAGAGTGAAGGAGAAGACCGTGGCAGCGACTGTGGCTGAGGATTAGGGACGCTGCCCCTGCGAATTAGGGCAGCGTCGCGACATTGCTGCTAATTAGGGAAGGGTCAAATTGCCGGCAGCAGCGTGGAGAAGGGATGGAAAGGGAGGTAGGGGGAGAAGGGGAGGGAGGCGTCGCGGCAGCGTGGAGAGAATCGCCGGCAGTGGCGGCGTGGAGAGGGAGAGGGAGAGGGAACGGGAATCAGAGAAAAAGGGATGATTTAGGGAGGGGGTTTGGGTGTATATAAATTATTTTTTATAATATTATTATTAATATTTAATTAAATCTAAAAAATCTGTATCTATATATAAAAAATCTGATTTTTGAAAATTAAAGTATGAAATCTGATTTTAGAATTTTCAATCTCCAAATGTAGGGGTGGGTGTAATTTCCAATTATATCTATTCAAGCCATCCAAAGTTTGAGGCCCTAGGCCCAAGTCAAAATTCCAAGGCCCAAGGCCTTTGCCTTGGTCGCCTGGCCTCAGGGCCGGCCTTGAAATCTAGTCTATCGTTTACATAAGTCTTTTAGTCCATGTATGGGACACATTGAAAAAGATTTTAGTTTCTTTCTCTTTTTTAATACCGTTTAGTTCACTTAATCGGATGTGCCATTAGTGTATGCCCGTCTCGGAGCGCTATTTCACCCAAAAGAATCCATTTTTTGCATTGTCATGTGGGTTCCCTTTTAATTTTTTAATGCAACGTCAAGTGTACCATAGTCAACTCACTTTTTGGACTTTACTTTCAATGCCTATTTTACCCTTTTATATTAAAGGCAAAAACTGATTCAACTACTTTTTTTGACTGATTCAAAGGTTAGTAATGACAATTTACACAAATTTATCGATTTCCACCACTTTTTTTACTGTGCTATCTGGAACCGTACTATAAAAAATCTGAAGATAAAATCGATACCAGAGGGGCTATAATTTTTATATGAACAACTCTACTTTTGAACTCGTATGCAATCATCATGTATGTAATGCATTGGTAGGAATATCTTGTTTCATTTTGATTTAGCATACTGGAGTTGCGTATTCCATTTTCTATTGAGATATGTTTGATTTTGTCTGAATGAAATTCTATACTGCAGCTATGTATACTATCCTCTTCACCTCGGAATCTGTCAATGAAGGTAACCCCGATAAGCTTTGTGTTCAAATGTCTGATGCAATTTTAGATGCATGTTTGGAACAAGATCCTAAAAGTAATGTTGATTGTGAGACGTAGAAAACCTGAAATGTTACAGTCATAGGCGAAATCACAACCAAGGCTAATGTGGACTATGAGAAAATTGTTCGTGACATGCTTAAATAAATTGGATATTCGTTGCCTGTAGTCAGACTTGATGCTAATGATTACAAAGTTCTGCTAAACGTCGAATAATAGAGCCCTGAGATTGCTAAGGTTGTCAATTGTCACCTAATGAAAAACCCAAAGAGATTGGAGCCAAAGATCAGGTCTCATATTCGGCTATACCACGGACGAAACCCCTGAGCTGTAATTACGTTGAAATATCTTGACGAAAAGATGATATTTCTTTTCAACCCCTCTGTTTGTTCATGGAGGCCCTCAAGAGGATGCGAGATTGACTGGTAGGAAGATTATTGTTGACACTTAAGGAGGCTGCGGAGCGGTGTATTTTCATGAGAGGATCCAACCAAGGTTCATCGATGTGGAGCCTATATTTCCAGGCAAGCAGCGAAGAGCATGGTGGCCAATGGGCTTGCATGTCGTTGTACTGTGCAATAGTCATTTACAATCGGTATGCCAGAATTGTTATCCGTATTCATGGACAATATGGAACAAGGAAGTTGTCGGTTAAGGATATACAGGAGCTTATTAAGGAGAACTTCAACTTCACGCTGGGAATGATGGCGATCAATCTGGACCAAAAAGGGGGTGGCAATTTCATGTATCAGAAGATTGCTGCCTACAGTCATTTTGAATGAAAAGATCCAGATTTCACCTGGGAAAATGTTAAGGTGCTCCAGGCTAAGTGAACTTAGCCTGCTTTCCTTTCTGTGGTATGCTTCTATTGTTGCACTAGGATTTGGTATATTTTATGTTGAAGGTAAGAGATAAAGAAATGTTTTGTAAGCATTAAGGATACGAATAAATAATAGGACATCATCATGTGATTAATCAAAACTTTTTAACCAAATAGTGATCACAGTCATAATTCTAAAATAAGAACAAGAGATCTTTCTAGATCAATCCCTCTGCCCCTCGGTAAACGAACACGAATTGAGGAAACTTTTATTAAGACAAAATTTAAAAATCATCACAATATGGGGATTTGTGCTCTGTTCTTTACAGAGGTATGCCTTGCATCCACCTCTTTATCATTTCTAGTGATGCTTTTGGTTGATCCATAGGAACCATGTGGCCAGCATTATGGACCTTAAGGAAAGTAAGAAGTCCATAGCTTTTCTTTAATCCTGCCTCCACTCCATCTACAATAAATGGAGCAAAAGGAGCCGATACAAATTCTTTCTGTCCCGACCATACCATAGCATCGACCCATCTCGAGTTTCCTGACAATAATAAAACACAGTTATAGCCGTTACATTAAAAATCTTGCATATGTTTTTCATAGTACTCAAGTATATTGATGTAAAACATATTGTTGAAGAATTTGATCAAAACGAGAAAAAAAGTAATAGTGTAGAGAGAACATTGGAATTCCGGTTTGGGCTCATAATAGCATTTCGGAAAGAGGACGACAATACGAGTAATACATATAGCTATGCCATAACGCAGGATGGATTTCGGCCATCCGAGTTCGTTTAGGACTCGAAAACTAATTTTTGAAATTTTTATTTTTGTCATTTAGTTTATTTCAAATTCATTTTTAATTTTAGTTTGTTTATACTACGTTTTCATTAATTTTTAGT